GTATGTGCGTATGTATGTATATGTGTATGTACGTACGTATGTATGTACGTACGTACGTACGTATGTATGTATGTATGTGTGTATGTATGTATGTATGTATGTGTGTATGTATGTGCGTACGTATGTGCGTATGCATGTATATACAAGGTATTTATTTACATACATACGTATGTATGGTTAATGATTTATGTATGTACATGCATAAGCATTTAAGTATGTATGTATGTATGTGCATAAGTAATTACATATGTACGTACATATGCATGTACATTTGTGTGTATGTGTGTACATATGTTTGTATGAAAGTACATACGTACATATGTATGTTCGTGTTTATTTCTTAATTTATTTTCCATTCACTTTTACTTTCTGTTCTACATTTAGATTTTAGCTAGGCTTTTGCTAATTTAACTGACCTTTTACAACTTTCAGCCTCTAGCCACTTTTAGCTAACCTTTTCCTACTTTTAAGTCTTAGCTAATGCTTTACTATTTTCAGCTAACATTTTCCCACTTTTGCTTTTTTAAGCTAGCGTTCTGTTTCTTTTAGCTTTAACAGTTCTGGTCTGTTTTTTGCAGAAAATGCAGTTTCCCTATAGTTCCCAGCATCTGCAGTGAAAATGAGGGCTCGGAGTAAACTCATTTCGTCTGGTGTCAGCGCTCGTCGCGCCTCCATCAGCGTCGTCGGCACGCTGCACTAAACCCACCTTCCTCCAGGGAGATGAAGCCGCTGGCTTCGGGGTGGAAGAGTGAGTCTCCAGTGACCAGCTCAAAGGCCTGCGGGGACGGAGAGGAACGTTCACGGGTGAGATGAGTGCTCAGAGAGACACGCAAATCGTTTCAATCTGTCACTCTGCTCTTTGGTTTTACTCAAGCAGAATCACAACGGCTTTAACTCTCATTGCAGTTTATATGAGACAATAACACTTAAAACTCCTGAAACTACTGGTGATTTTTTCGCCACCCTGAAATTATCAGTTTGAAAACTGTCAGGAGGCACCTCCACTTCTGATTCAGACTGAAGATCAATTTAACAAAAGTCTGATGTATAGTCTTTTCTTGCAGGAACAGTTTTTACTCTAACCTGAGCAGGACTTTATGTGACTTAAATAGTTGATGAACCCCACATTTAGCAGAAGCAGCAGGTCACAGATTTGATTTGCATCGCCAAATTTCTCCACTTGCTCATGATGGATTAGAAGATAATCAGACCTGACATCAGTAATTCTACACTCATCAGTTTTTTTATTCTAGGTATATAATATATTATATAAGGTATTTATTTAACACTCTGTGTTAACTTTAGCTGTGCAGCAAAACTTCCCAAACTGAACTAATCTTCACTTAATGGAATATTCGTGTTAAAAGCAACATGTTTTCCTCTCACCATGCAGGCGACGCTCCAAATGTCAGCAGGCGGACCGTAGTCAGATCCAAGCAGAACCTCTAGAGAGCGGTACTGACGGGTCTGGATCTCCTCACAGAAATGCTTGTACTGGTCCAAAACAAGAACAAAAAAATCTGACACAGACTCCTTTTTTTTTCAGTCAAGATGAAGCATGAAGCAAATCTGGGTTTCATGTTCTGCAAACAAGACAAAAATGCAGTCTTCTGAAGAAAGAGTTTTTATTAGGTTTTTTCCCCTGTTGTTATTGTTGTTAATTTTTTGTGTGAAAGAATATTTATGTGAAATATAGAAATACAAACCACCCAGCAGGAGCTCCCCAGGTCTGCAATCTTCACTGTAACGTCTTTGAAACTGGGCGAGTTAAACTGCTCCACTGAAAGAAACAAGAAGTCACCGTCACTAATGTGTAGTAATGATAATTAAGGTTTATTGTGCTTTATTTTTGTAAGTAAGTTCAATCATCTTCTGATACTTTTTCATTCTCTTTTATTTTTGTTAGTTTTTGTCTCCCTTTATTTACACTTTGTGCACAGGTTTATGTTCCCTGGATGCTGAGCTGTAAACTGTCCCGCTCTGAGATTCCAATCTAAAACTCTCCTGCATGAGTAGAAATTTAAAAATAAAATAAAATAAAACTTACTTTTGTTGCTGGCTTCCTTCCCGGCTGGTGAGGAGAAGGAGCTGCTGCCCCCTGCTGGCAGCTGCAGGGCCTGCTGCTCCTCACACAGCAGGATGTTCTCTGGTTTGATGTCTGTGTGGATAATTTTACACTGCCTGTGAAGGTAGTCCAAGCCCTGGAGAACCTACAGAGAAAGTGTAGAGCTCAGATGTTTCTTTTTTTCTATGTTCAGCATTTAAGGATGATTGATCTAAAAAAAAAGAAAAAAAGAAATACCACTGAGGTCATCAAACTACACAGTTTGAATCAGCTGCCTTTTTATCTTCACTCTGTTGTTTTCATGGTTACAGTTTATTGTGCTGCTTTTAGCATTTATCTTCTTTTAGGTACTCTATTCTTTTAGTTCCATTTTTACATTTTGTTAATTTTAGCTACAAGTTTAATCCTTTTAAGCTTTAGTATATTTCACTAATTTCAGCTTTAGCACGTGTTTTAATAATTTTAGCTTGATGTTGCCCATTTTAGCTCAGCACATGTTAATTTAGCTACTGTTTTGATCATTTTAGCTTTAAAATTTGTTTTGTTAATTTTAGGAAAAGTTTTACTAATTCAGCTTTAGCAAATGTTTTGCTCATTTTAGCTTAAGTTTACTAGTTTTAGCTTTAGGACATATATTTGCTACTGCTTTGACAATTTCAGCTTTAAATTTTGTTTTGTTAATTTTAGCCACCGTTTTACTAATGTTAGCTTTAGCATATAGCCTATTTTGCTCTTTTCAGCTTTAGTATATGTTTAGCTAATTGTAGCTTCAGCTTGCTTATTTTAGCATTAGGACATGTTTTGCTTGTTTTGACCACTTTAGCTTAAAATTTGTTTTGTTAATTTTAGCAAAAGTTTTTTTTTTTTTTAGCTTTTTAGCAATTTTAGCTTTTGCACATGTGAATGTAGAGTTCACCAAAGGGGAAATAAACATTTCCACTAGTTTTTGACTCTGGTTTAAAAAGCCTTTCTCAAAAGAGACATTTTTATTTTCTTTAATAAACAAAATAATAATGTTCTTTTGAGAAAGGCTTTTTAAACCAGAGTCAAAGACAAATGAAATGTTTATTTCCCCTTTGGTGAACTCTACGTAATTATACTTATTGTTTTGATATTTTTTCAGGGGTTCTCGAACATTTTGATTTGATTTGATTTGATTTAACATGAAAAGATTATTAAAAATCAAGCCTGACTCAGCATAATTGCTGTTTTACAGCAGGTTCCTGTTCTGCAG